TATACTAAATTATTTGTTTTCTTTAAGCTCTTTAAATGCTCTAGAGAAAAATTGGGAAACTTTGTGTTTTGAGGGTCAAAGATTACAAATTTATACCATAAAACCCTGTTCCAAGGACCGTATATGCCGGTTTCGTTAAAATTGAACCAGAATTACTCGAGTTATCATGTTTACGTATGTAACATGGATATAATATATTATATATTATGTATATAAACACATATATAATATTTTGAGTTATCTAGCAACCCTCTGAACAGCAGCCTCTAAGGGTGCTTTAGGCTTCTGGGGGCATCGAAATGAAAACGTAAATCGGTTTCGGGTCTATGTTTTACCATAAGACCTTCGGTAATAGCTTATTTCCTATATGGGAAGTTCGCTAAAAGGGGATGGATTAAGTTTTACACTATAACAAAATAATATAGGTTACTACGCAAAAATTTCAACTTTTAAGGTCGTGTCAATGTGTTTTTCATGCAAATCTATTAAGACCAATTTCAAATTTATATGTATTTTTCTTAGGTAGTTATTTAAGTTTTTTTTACATTTATTAAAAATTAAAACAATTGTATTTGTATAAAACCTTACATTACATATTAAAATGAAGTACTTAAACTAAAGCTATTTTTCTACAATTTCCGTAGTATCTCCCTTTACAAATCCATCATCACAATAATTATTCTCAGACAACTCATTAAAAATTTTATTATTCTTAGCAACTTGTCAATCTTTACTGATTTTGTCCAAGTTGTGTTCAAGCAGGATTCCCATTTACAAACCTTGTATATTGCAGAACAGGCAACACCAATCTTAAAGCACGAACAATGTGGTGCAAAAACACCTTTCATACATACTGACGTTTGCAGCTTGTATCTTAATTTCCTCAAAATTATTTTCAATCAATACAAGTACGGTTGTCTTTCGTGGTTATGACGACCAGGACAGCACTAAGATATCAGAGCAGCATTGTCGGTACAAGCATTTTTGTCCTGAACAATGGGAACGAGGTTTATGGGGTGAAAATTGGTTTTTCTGATTTACTTCACCCTCAAAACACAAAGTTTCCCAATTTTTCTCTAGAACATTTTAAATAGCTTAAAAACAAATAATTTAGTACAATAACGTGTTTTTGTATGGTTATTAGTTACGGATAAAAATACTAAATTTGTAAATTTAAAATTCCCATGTGTTCTTATGTAGAATAGTGTAAAATGATTTTGTTTGTTTGTTAATAGATCTTGATCAAACTTGTCAAATTTTTTGTTTTATACTAGGCTATTAATATTTTACTATAAACACACTTTATTAGCCTCCTTGTAGCAGCAAACCTAGGTAATCGTTAAACGAAATGCTATTTTAGATTTAATTGAAAATCTAGTAAGTAAAACGGAAATTCGCTAGGTTTGCAGGTTTGCTGTGACGGGGGGTATTTAATATTTTCTCTTACTCATTGTGATCCTTTCCCCTTAAGTAGTAAAGAATTACAATTATTTTCAATAATCCCCTTTTATATAGAGCATGGAGGTAACTAATTTTATTACTTTATGAATAAATGTTTAAATATCGTAAAAAGTAATAATATTTCGAAACACCCTGTATGGAGTGGTTTAATACGCTTAAAACTAGTCCCAATCAATTTAAACTAACTAAAACCATCGAAAACCACACCTCACTCGACCTGAAACGTAAAAACAAAATTATTCAGGAACAGGGGGCCCTTCGGATCAAAAAGGGCCCCAAAAAGGGCCTTAGGACGCCCAAAATTTTGGGGACTCATCGGATCTTCATTTCTCGTATTATTAGTAACTCACAGGTGAAGTTTCATGAATGTACAAATTTTGTTGTTTATAAAACCCTATTTTACCTGTACTATAAAGGAACCTAAGGTTAAAAAATAAATATTGATTAATACCCAATACAAAAATACACAATGTGTATTATACCGGGTGTCCGAAAAGAACTCCCTAGTTTTAAAAATACCTCACGGTAGTATTAGTTTAAATGTATGAGTAATAATCCTTTGTTGCTGTAGAGTGCACTTGTAAGTTTTAGTTTCGTACGTTGGCCATAAGTTTTGGTACATCTGATTGACCTTTAGCATAGTTTTGGTAATATATCATAATAAAACGAATAAAGAAATAATGATAAAAATTTGTAAAAACGCTTGTATATCTCCAGGGTTATAAGTAGTTGGCATATTATCTAGGTGGACTAGTGTTAATTAGAAAAACCTTTATTTTATTACCTTTTATTTAATGTATCAGTCATTGTAATTTGTATATTGTACAATAAATAAATTTTAAAACTAGGGACATTTTTTCGGACATTCTGTATTCATGCTAAATTGTCAACTTACAATTTTTTAAATTGAATTGTAATGTAAAATCTGCCTAAAACCCTGAGAAAATTTTCATAAAGCAGAACTAAAGCACTGTTACTTGTAGAGCAGCTGTTATAAGCTTTTCACGCCTAAGGATGTCACACGACATAAATCTTCAAAGTCAACACCCAAACGACAGTTTTCATCATTAACTCGTTGTCTGTGTCAATACAATTATAGTCTGACACTGCCTCAGCATTGCTGACTATAGCGCTGCGTCAGCCATAGTGTTGGCTGGGTTGTACACAGACACACACAAGCAGATTCTTTCTGTTTATAGTCGTATTGCGTGTCTTACACAACTTAAAACATTACGGTACTGTAGTGCTACCCTATGAAAACATACGAGGACTTGGTAATTTATTGAATCTGCATTTAAGACTAATACTTTCTAAAACTGGTCGATACCAAAAGGTGAAATCGGTTTCCTTTTATCATTAAGTCACTGCAATCAATGACATAAGCTCTACATTTTTAGCTTAAGTAAACATCTACTGTCGTTTTTGAAAAGTTAATTACAATATAGGAATAAGGAAAAATAGAGAGTTAAAAGTTAATATATGGTGAACCAGATATTGTGGGAATAGTTAAGAGTAGGAGGTTGAGATGGATGGGCCATATTAACCGTAGAAGTGAGAGAGGGATGGTAAAGATGGTACTCAGAGGTATACCAGAAGGAAGGAGACCATTAGGTAGACCAAGAATGCGATGGGTTGATGAGGTGACGAAGGACTTGAGAGGAATGGGAGCAGACTTGGAGCTGGCAGAGGATATAAGAGCTTGGAGGCACATGGTTGGCGAGGCCAAAAACCACCTAGGTTTCCAATGGCCACAGAAGTAAGAGTAAGTAAGTAATTACAATATCATTGTGTTATTTATGATTACATATTTGTTTCAGTTTAAAATTAATTTCATCACAACTATATTCGATGACATTCAGACTCTCTAATGTTTCAGTGATTTAAATTTGAATAAAGTATCTAACTTCGTAGGGAGAGTAAATTCTTTCATATTCTGAGGGAATAACAAACTGATTTAAATCTATTATCTATCTGTATAGGTTATTAACAGTTATGTCTAAGGAACATGCTAGCCTTATTCAGTAACAAGACTACAAGATCGCGCCACTCATCCTACATTCATCTCTATTCATCGAAATAGCGAAATAGAATACTATTTCAATTGGGTTCAATTTTTGAATATTTATTTTTTATCGACATAATATTTCTTTAAACATATACTACGTCATTGAATCAAATTAACACTTATAGATCGTTCAACCTGTTTTAAACTGAATACATATCACCCACGGAAATAGTGAAAAATTCTCATTTTCAAGAAAAAATATTTTACAGTATACCATAAGCAACTTAAAATCAAACTGTTCCAAACACACTTATATTTTTGTATCCTTATATTTAAAAAAATATTTAATCCAATTAATATCTTATTTCGTTGTTACGAAAGCTAACATCTCTACACTATCAAGCTACAGAACGTTGTAGATCGAACACAGCATTGCATTATTAACCCACCAAGACCACGTCTGTATTATAACTTTCCCCCCGGAGAATTATTGTACAAAGAGAACAAGTTTGCTCTTTGTTTAGTAAAGCTGTTCTGATGGGAATTTGTCTAGCTGCAATGCTACTGCAATGTGGCTATTTTATTCAACAGCATTATTATTTACAGAACTTTCTTTAAATGAAAATTTAGTTGTGTTCAATTGTGGAATGTTTGGCCTGATTGTAGAGTTGGTAACTTTAGTAAGCGAAAATTGGAGGAGTTCAAGAATTTTTTTAAGTTTAAGTAACGTTGCAAAAGTCAACAAAATCACAGGCAAAATGTTAAGATTCTTTTGGCTGATTGTTCTACGATTATCGTAGATAAAAAATATTCTAGGTCAAAAGATGAATCCGTTTAAGAAACTTATTTTCACAACATTTTTATAATTGAGGTTATAAAAGCTACAAAATTATAGGCGTAAAACATATTTATTAAAAGCCACGTAATTAAGTTGGTTGACTAATAAAAACTGTGTCAACGTTCTGAATGAACGGAAAACCTCACTGAATATTTTTGGCTAACAAAGTATACAAAGTTAATAGGCCTTTAACCACGTGGACTTTCAAAGATAATTACATAACATAATTCTCATAATTACATTACATACTGTATTTTCCATTTCAATAATGCTATTAATTGGACAAATAAAACACATAATTTCAACGCCGTATGATGGAAACAGCTAATATTAGCGTAGGAATTAACTAATACGATGTTAACTATGCACAATATCCACAAAGGGTATTCGAAAACAGTTAGCGTATGGTTGTACAACAGTTATTAATTAGGTAATGTTTCTTGCAAACCATATGCATTTGTTTAAATGAAATTATACGTGACAAACTTATTTTTCTAACATTCCTTCATTCGCAAGAATTGCCATAGCAAATGAAAAAAAAACATTTTGTCCAACAATAATTAAAAAATTAAACATTTACTGTATTTACCATGGATCTATTATTAATCTTGCCATTGAGAAAAATTCACAGGTTGAAAATACTTATGAGTTTAGGCTAAAACAGTAAAATATTTTCTTAAAACATATTTGTGTTACCTGGGTTTTTCGTATCTCCGTTAGAAGAATAAGCAGTCGATGGAGGCCCAGGCATAGTGGAGCAACACCAATCTAGAAATACATAAATAGGTAATTGTTTTTTATCTCACAAAACTTAGTAAATTAAACTTAACACAAGCTAATGTGGTTATTGAGAAGGTTATTTCTAAATAATTTAAAAAAATATTTACACATCGACATAAGACAGAGCTCTAAATGTATTACAATAAATAATGTTAAAACATTGGCTGATTGGCTGTTGGTAGTTAAAGGTAATTTGAGAAGTACTGTATTGTCTATTGTATTTTTGATAATTAGCAAAAGAAATAGCTAGTCTTAAATAGTGATAAAGCTGCTCACTTAATTCTACAAATTAATACCGTATAAAAGTAAAAAATTTACATTCATGTGTGTGTAGAATATCACAAACAGCCAATCCTAAAGCAGAAGGAAAACTATAGCATATTATTTCACAGTATTGGAAATGTAAAGATCAAATAAAATGGTGACAATAGCACACTCTGTCAGCTGATCAACAATGTTTGAACAAGAAGTATGCAACAGCTGATTCATAGATTAAATATCCTCGTAGTCTATGGTTGTTTATTCGTATTTTACTCTTGCAATGTAATCAAGTGTTTATGATCGGAAATTGTGCTCCTACCTCAATATTATTTCATGTAATAATTAAACCCTAAATTTGGCAATTTTACGATTTTACGGTCGTTTTTAAACTAGCCATTTCAATTCAGTTCTTAGAATGTGAAAAGATCCATTTTACAGTATTGTTTTGTTACTTTATGATACAAGTTTGCACCAATGAGGGTCAAGAGTTAAGAGAAAATATATAAAATCGTAATACTTCGAACGTCAAATTATCAGCTGTTGACAAATTTAATTGATTAAACAATGAGTTAGTGGTTGGGACAATGAGTCGTTGCATCACAATCAGTGTCAATGAGGAATTACAAACGAAAACACAACCTCTCCTAGAAGATATGAGTTGTGATTTGTATTGATTAGAAAACTGTCGTAGTTTAAGTACGTCACTATTAAAGGCACTGACGACTTTAATTTCATTCTGAGTTTAAATCAACCAATGTACCAATTTATTGGGGGTTAAGTGGGTTCAACCCCATACCTAGTACCTATTCCCATTCTAGCCTTCATTTTCACCCTAAGCACTCACCTTTTTAAACCGTCAAAAGTCAGATTTCTGCAGCAAAGATTACTTTAAGGAAGCACAATACTAAAAGATGAAGGGAGAACTTGTTTCCACATAATGTACTTCAGGTAACAATGAAAATCGCTTCAAGCTCTCACACTAACACAAAAGCACACACACACACACACACAAAGTGTGCGCATCGCGGAAATCGATAATGTAAAACAGAATGAAAAACGCCTCTAGCACCTCTCATCAAAGAGCATATTACAAGAGGGAAAACTCCACGGGCGTTTTTCATTTGTAGCACAAGGACTATGAAAACTCATTAATTAGTTTTTTTACCCGAAGGGAACTAGAGATTTTCATATTTTATTGGGTAAAAGAAACGATACTTTGAAAGGTATATTCAGTTGTGCTAAAGGTGTTTTCTTCAGTTTATAATTAGTTCTAGTATATTCTAAACGTTTTCAAAAGTAGTTTTACAGCTCAGTGGAACTGATTTGACACTCTTCTTTAAATTTTACATTTCTTCTATTGCATAGCTGTCCCTTTAAATTTTAAAACCGTACCATGTCGATAGATAAGGTTTAGTTTGGATCATCTTCAAATGGTCCAAAGTCGTTTGGTCCACAGTTTATATTGCCGTTCGTTTGGTCCAAAATCGTTTGGTCCAACAGTTAAAAACGCGTTCGTTTGGTCCAAAATCGTTTTATCCAATTTCATTTGGTCCAAAGTCGTTTGGTCCACAGTTTATATTGCCGTTCGTTTGGTCCAAAATCGTTTGGTCCAACAGTTAAAAACTCGTTCGTTTGGTCCAAAATCGTTTGGTCCAACAGTTAAAAACACGTTCGTTTGGTCCAAAATCGTTTGGTCCAAAAGTACAGGCCAAACTAGAAGTAAAATGTTGCATTGTAGAGTAAACTTATGAAATATACTGTACGTTTATATTGCCGTTCATTTGGTCCAAAATCGTTTGGTCCAACAGTTGTAAAACAGTTCGTTTGGTCCAAAATCGTTTGGTCCAAAGTATAAACTATTGCGTCCCTCACATTGAAGGCATTCAAATATCCGCCGTCGTATACAATAATAATATTAATACAATTTTTGCTTTAAACATGTTGAGTTTCTATGTTTTTAACGTTAAAGACGCCATGTTTTGTTGTATTCAAACCACTAAAGCGTACATAAACAAACTTAAAGCTCAATAGTGTATCATACGGTTGGAAATCTTATAAATTAACAGTTTTTATCACATTTGGCGACCTTCTAATATACAGAGTGTTCAGTGGACCAACGTGTTTTAAATGTTTATCATACACCTTAATTTGTATTGTTGTACCGGTACCTATTTACAATGGAGTGTTTACTATTGATCATGGTTGTCTATAATTCTTAATCAAAAGGTTAAAATAGAACATGAAAATTACATTAATTAGCCTACTCATATTTTCTGGACGTCCACAATTTCCTGGTAAAAATTTTGTCTTGCAGAATTATATATAAGGATCTTATTTTCTTACTTTAAAATTGATGTTCTTCTGTATAATGTCATGTTTAGCAATATAACGTTCCATTACGAACAGTTATATAATCTTAATATTACAGTAACTCTTTCAATCATTTCTTATTGCATTATGTTATATCTATTGTACTGGTTGGTGTCTGCCTTTTTGACTACTTTTGCCGATATTTTGTCTTATTATTCAATACTGACAGATCATCACGAGATTATTGTTATACATGTGCATTTAATCATTGGACAATTTCCCATTAGGCTATGTAATACGATACAGAATAATAAAAGTGCAGAAGGCTTTTACAGTCTATGAAAATGAATGTTAAATAGGCTACTTTTATTTATCATAGACATATCATTAAGGTACATCAATTATAGGTCTACTCTTTGTGATATGCGTAATTGTCTGAGACAAACATTCAGGCACGTTGCCCATATTTTTTTTTAATAATAGTGGTTTTCAGTAACTGGATAACATTTTTCATAATTTTATGAATAAATGCATGATAAGTTATAGAAAGTTATTAATCCTAAATTCCAGTTTATTACATACTTTTAGAGAGTTTACTTTGATGCATTCATTCAGCTTAGTGAAAGAATACACAATGGAGTCAGTGAATGTTATTCAACTAAAGAAGTGATGCGCATGTTTACTGGCGCTACTCAGCAACAAAAATTATTGATCTCTCAAAGTTACTTACCCAGATGGTGACATCAAAAAGGCCCAAACTCCATACTATAAACAGTTTCTCAGACCAAAGTCAATTTAATGCGCTTGAATTGTGGCATTTATTAATTCGGCTTATATTTCTCGTAACCAACAGATTGTTCATCTGCAGAAGAAGCTCATTGTGTTCTTATCGTGTCTAATAACATCCAAACACAGAAACCTTAAATTACAGTAGTACCTATATCTTGACAGATGGTTTGCAGTAGCATCTGCGCCAGTAGAGCCACTGGGGCGGAGCCCGAAAGGATTTTTGGGATAATAACATGCTTTAATATTAATCGGGAATGTGAGCTATTATCATGCCAAATTTAAGCCCAATCCGTCCAGTAGTTTATGCGTGATTGAGCAACACACACACACACACAAACACACACACAAACTCACAAACTTTTAGATTTATAATATTAGTAAGATTAAAAAATAAACCATCTGTTTGACATTAAATGCAAACTCAAAGCAAAGTCAATATTTATCCACAAATCTAGGGAATTAAAACGCGTTGTTTTAAGATTGACTGGGGATAAAAAGTAAACATTACACAAACACATTATATATAAATAAATATATGTATATGTACGTGTTTAGAAATGCAAACATATATATTATTTAGAAACATATCACAAAACAACAAATAATAGGCCTCGGAAGGCAGGCGGTTGGGTTGACGACGTGACGGCGATTATTTGAACGCCTTCTATGTGAGGGACGCAATAGTTCATACTTTTGGACCAAACGAACTCGTAATAGAGTGTTGAATAAAACGACCCGATCGAATGGTCCACAGTGAAACGTACAGTCTATTTCATAAGTTTACTCCACAATACACAATTGTAATTCTGGTTTTGCCTGTACTTTTGGACCAAACGATTTTGGAACAAACGAACTGTTTTAAAACTTGTGGACCAAACGATTTTGGACCAAACGAACTGTTTTAAAACTTGTGGACCAAACGATTTTGGACCAAACGAACTGTTTTACAACTTGTGGACCAAACGATTTTGGACCAAATGAAATACTCCCCAACTTGATCATAAAACGATTTTGGACCAAACGAACTGTTTTAAAACTTGTGGACCAAACGATTTTGGACCAAACGAACTGTTTTACAACTTGTGGACCAAACGATTTTGGACCAAATGAAATACTCCCTTTAGTTTCCCCTAGAGTTGCATAATTTGAATAAATAAAGTGTATCTAAGGTTTAAATTAAGTGTGTCTATAATTGAATATCCTAAATCATTCAAAGTGGTTACTCAAATTTTACATTTCTCTTGCCCATAAGGTGTAATCATTTGTAAATTCTCTTAATTTTGTATAGCTTAAATTGAAGTTTTATCAAATTGTAGCTGTCTTAAGAGCTTCTAAGTTTATTTATTTGAATTAGCTTTAATAATAAAGTAAGTAGTAGTATGATTTTACCACTGACTTTTTTTTGTATATATAACAATACAGGAGTACGTACTTTTTAGCAGTCATATACCAGACACAATATGTATAGTGAATATATCAATTAAACAAGAAATTCTTTACAAACAAGCATCTACAGTAATGTATACAAAGAAACTTTACTCATTCTGTAAAATTATTCAAAAATAAATTTAAAATACGTGAGGTAAATCGTTTAAGAAGCTCTATACAAAATTATTTAGCAACTAATG